GTATGCTATCTCTTGGGAAGTTGTTTAAATTGTAAATTGCTCTCTAGCAGGACCTCTGAGCGCATTTCAGACTGTGATTCATCTGTAGTACTGCGTGGGTTTCTTTCTCCTTGAAGGAAAAGGCTTTTAAGTTACTCCCTCATTATTTATTTTGACCATCATTTGGTACACTTAACCAGGTCATGCTTCTGTCTGTCTGTCTGTCTGTCTTTTTGGACCAAACTTGTATGCCACAAAAGAGTCCAAATCCATTTCCGTTTTACTTTTCCTCCTTTTAGAGCCACTCAGACCAATGTTTAGATCTGATGGGTGAGGATTTTGAAGGGTTTTTAAAGCTGTGATCTCTCTTTAAAAATTTAACTTAATTCATTCTTGCTTTTATTTATACATGTACGTTTTTGTCCTTTTTATTTGCGGGAATATAATAGTCACACACATACACACACATGCCTCTTGTCTATGCTGTGGCACAGCCATCGAATCGAGTCAATAACAAAACCAAAACAGACTCACTGCCATGGAGGCCATTCAGACTCAGGGAGCCCAGGGGGTGTAGGGTACCTGTTAGGACGCTATGATGGCAAGGCCAGCAGTTTGAAACCACCAGCTGCTCCAAGGGAGAAAGATGAGGTTTTCTACTTTTGTAAAAAGTTACAGTCTCAGAAATCCACAGGGGCACTTCTACCCTGTTCTATAGAGTTGTCATGAAATCAGCAGCAGTATCATTAAATCTCTGTATATCGGGTTCTTTTTGGCTCTTTTATTATTATTATTATTTTGTTTCCCTACCCTTGCTTCTTCCATAGTTTCCTGTCCCTTCCCTTACCCCCAACCGCAACACCACCACCACGACCCTCTGGGACCTCCTTGTAGTCTTTAAAGTCTTATTCTTTGGTGTGGAAATCTACTTTTCTTTTTCTTTTCCTTTATAAGGATGGCATCATAAAAAAATTATCTTTCTGAGCTTGACTAACTTTGCTAAGCATAATCTTCAATTTTATCCATCTTAAGGCATTTAACAAACTTGCCATTGTTTTTAGGGATGCATAAGATTCCATTGTATGAATGCACCAGTTTGCTTATCCAGTCCTCTATATTCAGAGGATTTTTTGCTTGTTTTTTTTTTACTATTTCCATCTTTTTGCTACAATAGATATTCCTGCAATAAACATAGGGGTTGCATATGTCTGTGTTTTGTTCTTTATTTCTTTAGGGTATATACCAACTAGAAAGATTGCAGGATCATAGGTATTTATATTGCATTTGTTTAAAGAAACACCATACTGATTTCCATAATGTTTGTGTAACTCTACAATTCCACTAGCAATGTGTGAGCATTCCAATCTCTCCACATTCTCTCCAGCATTTATTCTTTTCTGTTTTATTGAATTTTGCTAAGAGTATCAGTGTGAGGCGGTATCTAATTTTTTTTTCTTTTGTAACTGGCATTTTATTGGTTGTTTTGAGATCAGTACAGAGACAGTATGAACAATTTGTACACAATCCTTAA